CCGTTGGATATACTGGAGTGAAAGAGACAGAGAAAATGAAAGTAGGGATGGAGTTGCCTCCTGGGCAGGCGGGGTCTGAGGAACCAGAGTGGGTGGCTCTACCTTCAGCTCCCTCATGCCACAGAGGTGACATCTGTCCCTAGCAACCTCTGAAGCTGACACTCCCTCTACCCACTTCTCTCCCTTCTAGGTGTCCCACAAGGCGGTGGTGGACATGAATGAGAAGGGAACCGAGGCAGCGGCTGCCTCCAGCCTCCTCTCCCAGCCCCCGGCCCTCAATACGACATCGGCCATGCCTGCCCGTTTCAACCGGCCTTTCCTACTGCTCCTGTGGGAAGTGACCACCCAGAGCTTACTCTTCTTGGGAAAAGTCGTCAACCCTGCTGCAGGGTGATGGTTGTGGAAGGCATAGGGTGCCTCATCTCTCCCCTGACTAAACAGAAGGGCCAGCACTAGCTAGCACCACAAGCCCACTGTGCAGATTGGTTAATCAGTGTGCAGACTGCTAATAAAGTTGACTTTGGATTTTGCGAAGACTGATTTAAAATGTCTACAAGAGGGACCCGCAGATGGTATAATGGCTATGTCCCTGAACTCCATGTAGTTGATCGCGGTTTGAGGCCCAGACGTGGTGGCTTAAACTCACGCCGGATGTGTGTGTGCGTGCGTGCCCAAGATCCTAAGAGGAGAATGGAGGAGAAGGGATTGTGGCATGGCCATCCCCCCTGGGGGGTGATTTCTCGCTTTCTGTCTCTCTGTCTCTCTGCCTTTCTGGCGAGCACACGCGCCCTATAGCAAAAGCATCTCCAAAAAAATTAAAAATGTCTATGAGAGAGCAGCTTCCAGAGCAACTTGTAGCCATTTACTGCACAACCATCCTAAGTCTGGTGTCAACTGTGGTTAGAAAGTAGGAACAAGGGGCCAGCCAGTAGCATGTTGGTTAAGGAAGCTAGATCCCACATGGCCAACTGTGTGGTTCAAGTCCTGGACCCAGCAGCTTGAGAAACATGCTGGCTGCATGTGCATGCGTGCCCAAAATTACAAAAGGAGGGAGAGATGGAGAAGGGATTGTGGCATGACCATTCCCCATGGGGGATTGCTTTCTTAGTTTCCTTCTCTCTTTCTATCTCTCTCCCATGAGGGCACATGTTCTTTAGCCAATTAAAGAAAAAAGAAAGGAATGTTGAAATGAGAACAGCCCCTGTATTATGGCCCCCTGGAAGACATCCGCCATCACCACCATTGGTATTTCCTGAGCATCCTCGAGGCAAGGTCACAGTCGAAGGCCTAGAGGGCATCAAGAGGAGGAAGTGAGTCTCTCCCTTCTCAGTGGCCGACTGGGGTTGCACAGTCGATTAAGGTCCCTGAGATGGGACTACCCAGACATCAGGAGTTGGATCACCTTGAGGAGGGTGGACCTGGGCAGGGTTCCACACCATGCTGCGTGAGGAGAAAGGGGTGCAGGGCCGAGCCGAGGCAGTTATGGGCCAGTCCAGCAAGAGGGTCAAATGCAATCAACAAGAAAGGAGCACCAGAGCCCAGCCAATCCAAGGCCAAAGGAAGTGGGAGGTCAACATGGCAAGAGGGGTGATGGGCACAGGGCAAAGACATGGTCAGCAGGGTGAGTTTTAGGGCTACACTAAACGGCAATGTAGATTTAGAGATTGGGAGTCCAACTCCCCAACTGTGCCCCCTCCAGGAGGTGTCCACTGAAACTAGCGGGAGAAACAGAAAGAGAGGCCATGCCAGGCATGCACTACCCAGCTCCACAGTGACGCCCATGCAAGCCTAGCGGGTGGCTGTACGTGCTGCATGTCTAGGAAGGAGGCATCTCAAAAAGCACCAGAGGGGTAGAAACCCCCCCCCCATGCCGAGGAAGTGACCCTTGGATCTCGAAATCCAGGTGAGCCTTAAATAAAGAGTAAAGGGTAAGACAGTTTGTGGAAGGGCAGAGGAAAGATGCTATGGGCAAAGGGCATGTTCTGATAAAATGAGAGAAAAGAAGTTTTCTGGCAATAGGAAGTCACATAGAGTCACAGTAAGAGGGAGTGCTGGAGAGGTTTTCAGAGGTAAAAGTTGGCAGCTTTGGATCCCAGGGTGGTATTGGTCCCGTAGACAGTGGTTCTGTGAGCAGATGCGGAGGTGGACAAAGCAGCCTTTCAGGCTTCTAACACTTCCCAAACTTGCAGAAGCCCCAATTCCTATATGAAATCCTTTTACCGCAGAAAATACTTGTGCTTATTTTCTCAATTGAACTCCTGCTGATTTATCTGAAAACATCTTTGTTCTGCCTTCAGGATTGAAAGATAGTTTTACTGGGTATGGATTTTTAGATAATCAGATGCTTTCTTTCAGTGCTATAGAGATATCATTTCGATAGATAAAGGGTTATGTAGATATTTAAGTGTATTCACTTCTTACTTCCGAGAGAGAGAGAAAGAGGCATCCCCATCAAGGTCTTCATGCTACAACCTACCCCTCGTCTCAGTCAGCACAGATCTTAGGCACTGCGCTGCCACCTGGCCCTTATCCTGCTGTATTTTGACTTTTACAGTTTAGATTGAAAAGTTATCTATAGTTCTTGTTGTTATCCTTTGAAATTAATAGTTTTTCCCTTTAGAAGCTTTAGACTTTTTTCTCTTTCTGTCTTTCAACTATTTCTAAATGATGTCTATAGGTACAATTTTTCATGTATTAATTCTGCTTAGAGTTTATAAAACTTCCTGACTATGTGATTTTATGTCTGTTTTAGAAAACTTTCAGACTTTATCTCTTCAAAACTTGCTTTTATTCCATTTTCTCTCCTTTTTCTGGGACCACAGTTACACTTATTAGATGCTTTCATTGTGTCTCATTTGTCTTTTATGCTCTTTTCTGCACTTCCTACCCTTTGCTCTCTGTATTTTCTCTTTGCCTGTCTTCCACTTTCACTGTCTTCTGCTGTATTTTATCTACCGTTGAAAGAATTTATTGAAATCTTAATTGCAGTTATTTAAAATTTTTAGCACTAGAATATTTACTTGATTCTCTCTTTAGATTCCTATTCTGTCAAATCCAGCATCTATTTAATTACACAGAATAATCATAGTTATTTTAAAGTCCATTTGATAAATCCAATGTAGAGATTACCTTTGAATCTCTGTTGTCTATTTTTCCTCTTAGTTTTTAGTCATTTTGTTGTTGTTGTTACCTTCAATGGCTGGTTATTTTTAAAAACTGAATATCAGATAGTGTGTATCATAAATTGTGTGGCTTTAGGTAATATTATCTCCCTCAAGGAGAGATTTGGTTTCTTTTCTCAGGAAGAAAGAGTACAGAAAGATTTCCTTGACCCAGCCAAAACTGAGTTCAGTCTTTCTGAGGTCTGGTTTATACTTTTTTGGACTTGCCCTATCCCTTTAGTGGAGCCTTGAGGCAGTGCCAACTGAAAGCTGGGGTCATTTTCCAGGGCCCCACCCCCTTGACATACTTACATACCAATTGTTGTCTCCCTTGTTTTGTGAACCTGTTATAATCCCTTCTCTTTAATCCGGTGTCTTTTGCATGATTGCTCAATATCTCATCCCACGTATGCACCTCTTAGGAGACAAGTTTCCTTGAAGGGAAATTGCATACAGAACATTGGCTTTCCTTTTTGTGATTCTCTTTTCTGTAGGATCTTGGTCCCTTGAGTCCTAACTCTTGCTAGTGTTGAACTCCACTTCTGTTTTTCCCATCCCAGCGACACTGTTACAGAATCTATGCCACTTCTTTTGGTCACTTCTGTGTTCCAGACTGCAAAGCAGCCAGAGTCCCAGAAGGAAAAGAGAGCAGCCAATGGAAGGCTTACCTCAACATGGTAGCCTTCTGTCTGGACTCTTCTCCATATCCTTAAGATATGGCTTCTTTCAGTTCTCCAGTGCCTTCAGACATCGCTATCTTGAATTTTATTCAGATATTATACTTTGTTTTTCATGGGTGGTTAGTCTGACACCAGCTTCTCCGGCATAGTTAGAAACCAGGTGAATTCTTAATAGAGCAAAGAGAGCCCCAAGCTATGATGCCCGTGTCAGCTGCGATACCCACGTGATGGTTCACCTCATGTCAACCTGACTGAGTCATGCAGTGCCCAGATATTTCGGCAAACATCATTCTGGGTATTTCCGTGAGGGTGTTTTTTTTTTTTTTAAATGAGATTAACATTTAAGTAAGAAAATTGAGTACAGCAAACTGCCCTCCTAATATGGGTTGACTTCATCCAATCAGCTCAAGTTCTGGAGGACAAAAAGGTGACTTTCCCGCACGCGAGTATCAGCTCTGCCTGAGAGCCTCCACACTGGAACGCAGGTTCTTCCTAGTCTACAGAAAGTTCCAGCCTTTAGAGTTAAAATGGATATTAGCTCATCAGCCTCATAACTGTGAACTAATACACACACACACACACACACACACAGTTTCGTATGGTGCGAGATGAACTTTGGTAGTTAGATATGGTATCACCTCTACTCTGGATCTTTCAACATCGTATTGTAGAATAGGGCTTTTATTTTGTCTTTATTCATCAATGTGTTGAACACAAGTGTGCCATTAAGATTATAATGCAGAAGGAGCTGGAAACCCCCACATGCTACTCCAATCCACAGCCCTACCTCACCAAGACTTTCCCAGTGCTATGTCTGAACAATCTGCAAAAACCAAACGGGGATCCAAGGTTTCTCACATTGTGGGCTGTGGGTTTGAACCAAGATCATTCACAAAACCGTGGTCAGCTGAGCCAGATCCCCGACTTATCCCTGAGACCTAAGGGGCCTGTTTCTCCAAAGTGTCAACCCAAATGTTAGATCTTACCGTGAAGATGATCCAAAACAGAAGGCCAGTGGCAGGTGGGAGATAAAGGGGTGGGGAATGACGATGTCACTAGAGCACAAAGTGAAAAGGTGTATGTTCACCCCATGCCCCATGCTGAGTGACAGGGCCGTTGTTCCACACTGGCTGCCAATGTGAGAAAGAAAGCGCTTCTATCGGGGGAGGGAGAGATGCACACGTCTGCGCAGGGCTCTGGCCAGGACCACTGGGATTCTACTGTGCTTCTTTGGAGATGTCAGAATGGGAGTGTGCGTGTGACCCTTAGCACTGACATTTTAACCCACAGGGTCTAAACCCAGGAACAAATTCCTGTCCAAACTTCAGCCTGTGAGCCACCAGGTTGAAATATCTATAGAAATCTCAGGTTACTAAATGATTAGGTGATACCGGAGAACCTGAACTGAGAAATCCACTGGCGTCAGCACCAAGTAGAGTGAAATGAATGGAGAGCCCTGGATCAAGTGAGTCTGTGGTGATGCCTTGATCAGCTCCATGTTTGAGGGGAAAATTGTTTGTCAGGGTAACTGGGTCCCCTCAAATAACAGGAAGTTCCAGCCTATGCTTTTCCACACACGTTTACATGGAGAGTGAAGAGAAAAGACATTGATCTCACCCCAACTGCCCCATCATCAAAGGCTAGCTCTGCCCCCTACTGGGTACAGGAGGTAACTGATGCATCCTAGAAGTTA